GGTGGTTTATATATGTAAATGCTGGTATATATATATACATATACCTAAAGTGTAAGATTATTCATTCAATATAATACACAATATTATTTTACTTTCTCTCTCTACATCTTTCTCTAGTTTCGAACATGGTATCTATCGCTGGTGTCTAACGACTTTCGATGATCCTCTTCTTCCACTCCTCTGTGTTCTCAAGATCTTTCTTCTGAAACCCTAAGCCACCAACAATGGCGGTACCTCATTCGCCTTCTTTTGACTCTACCTCTCAGCTTCCTCCTCCAACACATTCCTCAGTCCCAAATTTGTCCCCTAATTCGACCAGTTCTTCGATCACAATCCAGAACATTGGCTTGCTGGTTCTAATCAAATTGACAACCAAAAATTGGCTTACCTGGAGTGTTTTGTTTGCACCGATCTTTCTCCAGTATAATCTCACCGGAATTGTTGATAGCTCTATGGTGGTGCCGCCTAAGTACCTTCTTGATTTTTCAGGAAATTGCACTTCAACTGTGAATCCTCAATATGTGGCATGGTTTGAGAATGATCAAAACATTTTGATTTGGATCAATTCTACGCTCTCGAATTCTCTGATTCCTTACATTGTTGGTGTTACCACCGCTCGAGAACTCTGGTCCAAATTGGAGTCGCGCCTTGCGATGACGTCTCATTCACACATACATGAACTTCGTTCTCGACTCTGGATAATAACCAAAGGCGATTTAACCGTAGCTGCTTATCTTCAACAGCTTGAAGAAATCGCGGACGCTCTCGCAAATGCTGGAGTTGATGATTTAGAACTTATCTCTGTCACTCTTCATGGATTACCGCCTGAATATGATTCCTTTGTGGATGTTATTCAATTTCGTCTTGGTTCAAACACCATTGATGAATTACATGGCTTCTTGCTCAGTAAGGAGATTCAATTCACTAGTCGCAAGAAAGCTTCAACATCGGCACCATTTCAAGCTTACAATTCATCCACTGGAATTCTTCCTACACTGTTCGATGACTCAAGTTCTCAGGCGTATTATGTTCAACAAGGCTCAAATTTCAACTGCTCACAAGGATGTGGCATGGATCAAAATTTCTCTAACCCTAGAAAAAATTGCCCTAATAATTCTCGATCCTTCAATTCTCGTCCAAATTTATCTCGCCAAGGTCAATAGAGGTACAATCGAGGATCCAGATCTCAGTTCAATAATTTCAACAAAAGAAATTCCTGTCAAATTTGTCACCAATTTGATCATGAGGCTCTTGATTGCCCTCATCGAATGAATCCTGGTTATGGCAACAAGATTTTTCAAACTACATTTCATGCCAGCACCTCTTCTGCAAATCCTACATGGCTTATTGATACTGGTGCAAGCTCTCGCATGGCAAATTCCTCCAACAACCTTCAGAGTTCTGAAACCTACAATGGTCCTGAGCAAGTCTACATTGGCGATGACAAAGGTTTGCCTATCACTCACTCTGGTTCTTCTAGTCTTACTACATCTACACATACATTTGGCCTGAACAATGTGTTACATGTTCCTGATCTGAAACAAGATTTGATTTCTGCAAATTGATTTAAACTTGATAACTGGTGTTCCATTCATCTATATCATTTTCACTTTATTGTGAAGGATCTTACTTCAGGGAATGAGCTTTTTAAAGGTCTTGTCAAAGCTAGGTTCTATCCTTTTCTTGCACCCTTTATTGCTGGAAATCAATATGCTTATGTAGCAAGTACTAAAGCTCCTCAGGATATATGGCATCAACGTTTGGCCCATCCATCCTTCAAAATCTTAAATAAACTAGCTTTTCAGACTAGTATTTCTATTTCATATAGGCTCAATAAGTTTGTGTGTTCAAGATGCGCTCTAGGCAAATGCTCTAGAAAATCATTTACTTTTGTTCCTTGTAACACAAGCAAGCCTCTTGAGCTATTACACACTGATGTATGAGGTCCTGCACCCATTTCTTCTGTTAATGGATATCGATATTACCTTATCTTGGTTGATGATTTCACCAAGTACTCTTGGTTCTTTCCCCTCAAGTTAATTCAGCAATTGCTGAATTGACTTGGATTTGCAAATTATTGGTTGATGTTGGCCTTGTTTTTCCCTATATTCTCAAAATATAGTGTGACAACATATCTGCCATCTCTCTAGCTAAGAGTCCAATCTTCCATGCTCGAACTAAGCATTGGAGATTAACTATCATTATATCAGAGAGAAAGTTTTGGCACACTCTATCACAGTTCATTTTGTCTGTACACAGAATCAAACTGTAGACATTTGCACCAAAGCATTGTCCAAAGATCGTTTTCTGCTTCTTAGAGGCAAACTTTCTCTTTGGCTACCTCAGTTTAGTTTGAGGGGGGATATTAAGGGTAGTAATGTAAACTGACAATGTGTGGTATTGTTAGAGTTTGTTATGAGAATTAGTTATACTTTGCTTGGTCATTAGGATAGGTAGTTTATATATGTAAATGCTGGTGTGTATATATATACATATACCTAAAGTGTAAGATTATTAGATTATTCATTCAATACAATACAAAATATTATTTTGCTTTCTTTCTCTACATCTTTCTCTCACTAAATCTCTCTCTAGATTCTAACACACTTCATGCAGTATACTTCTTCATGTTGCTCTTTGCACTTAAATACTTAAGAGAACAATTGAAAAATAATTAGCATGAATGCAAAAGATAATTGAAAGGATTAATTAATCAGCCAGGAAGAAGTATATAATACTACAACAACAACAACAACAACAACAAAGCCTTGCCCTATTAAGAGGAGTCGGTTGTATGAATCCTCCAACATCATTGCACCAAAAAGTAGAATAAAATGGTTACCTTTAGAGTCCAGAGAAGTGGCAATCATGGTAGCAGAAGAGCCAAAGGTTTTAGCTAAGTAGGCAGCGAAGGAAAAGTCACCCTCACCCACTCAGACCAACTCCAATCCTTGAAGTAAGTTCTAAAATTTCCCTTCTATGCCCACCAGCGCCCCCCCCCCCCCACCCCCCCAAAAAAACCAACTACAATCCTTGAAGTAAGTTCTAAATTCTATGCCCACCACCCCCCCCAAAAAAAAAAAAAAATCATTCCAACCCTTATTCTAAAAATAAGTTAAGTGCTAGAACCAAAAAAAATAAACTCAAATACCAACCAAGAAACCAGTCTAGGCTAAATATCTTGACTCACTGTGCGTGCAGGTGCGCTGTGAAAAAAAAGAAAGCGCGCTAGTTAACGCGCTAAAAGCATGGCAATGCGCCAAAAAGCTAGGAAAATGGGACACTTTGAGGGGAAGTGGGGCCCAACTTGATGGGATTGTCGGCCACCCATATGCAATCTCATCTCCTTTATTTCTATCAGACGACATAGATTTCCATCTCTTTTAAATCTAACGGGTGAGATTCATTCTTTAATAATTTAAGACTAAAATTTTAGGCCAGAAAAATTGAGGTAGAAAAACTATTTTTGAATTAAAATTTTTAGATTTCATTCCAAGAGTTGGTAATGATCTAAAAGTATACTCTGAGAACTACTGTAATGTTTTATCCGTTTCTCTTGTTTATCCTCTTCCATTTGTCTCTGTTTTTTATTTTTATCTGAAATTTCTTGTAATTGTTTACTTGATCGTTGAAATATATAGAGTTACAGGATGGGGCAACTGTTAGGCTTCTCATTTGATTTAAATAATTACCATTTATCACTCCAAATTTATAGGCTTTACATGCATGCGCTTATATGGTAATTGTAGGGTCTCCTTGTTGGAAATTGGAGAACTACTAATTATGCTTAACTCTTTTGAATCCGTGCACCTTTGAGCTAGATACTTAGGTACTTACTAGTAAGTACTTATAAAAAATATTTTTGTTTATCATCTAATTTATCATCGTTAGAAGAGTTTAAATTTCAAATCTATGTAGTAGATAGACATCAATTTTAAAATCTAAAATCATCTAACGATGATAAATACGATGATGAGATTATCACTATGTTAGGGTGGTGAGGAATAATGCAACCTACTTTATATACTCACCTTTTTTATTTTGGCACAATAATATTTTAGCATGTTTTATTGTTTAAAAAATAATAGACATGTTCTTTAATTTTTTTTGGACTTTAAAAAGAAAAAGAAAAAGAAAACACGATACATCTTTTGATTGAGCCAAATCTGAATGTGAGTAAAGGATAGTACTATAGTTGATGATGCATGTCCATGTTGAAGTAAAAAAAAAAAAAAGAATACCAAGAAATTGAAGGAAAAAATAAAAGTAGACGAACTCAAATGCTTAGATTTTTTTTTATCAAAACTATTATTAGCACTTCAAAAATGTGATTATGAACTCGTGAAACCTTAACTTTTCCCTATGTTTGTACAACTTACAAGAGAGGAGTGCATGATAATAGTTGCCTTTTTGTATTAGTATGTAATTGTATAATATCATTCTTTCGATACTTAATGGACCCATTCATCACAGATCTTTCACATGAGCGGAGAGGCATCAAGTCGTGGGTTTAGCCTGATAAATTCAAGAGAAATAACTATTTGAAGTCGCGTCTGTGTATTTTTGCAATTTGACTTTGAGTAGAGGATTTATAAAATTATATTCTCCACTCTAAGTCAAGTTCCACGAATACAAAAACAACTTTTAAGGCCCTCAAGTATGATTCCAATTTTATAGGAATCAAACTCTTACAAGTGAGCCAGAAAATTTGAGTTATATGAGAGTGATTTCAATTCTAAATTCAATTTAGATGACAAATCTAGCACTCCTGGAATATTTAGCATCTTCAAATTAAATTTCCCTAGTGAAGCCTTCAGTAAAGGGGTGCATTTTTGCTCATGCTCGTGTCTATCTTCTACACAGATCTTGAAATTTAAACATACCCTACAGTGATAAATAATGCAGCGAGCTTCACTATCACTTGAGGGTGGTGAACAAAAATATTCCCCAAGTAAAACCCTTTCAGAGATTCGAGGATCAGGTAGCTGGACAAAAGGTAATACATGGTAAGAGGCACAAGATTAATACATCCATAGATAACTGCAGTTCATCGTCAGAATAGGAATATATATAATGTATTTGACTGGGATCATCCTACAATGTCTAAAGAAAGATCATCTTACAGAGCTTGGTCCTTGATTTTCTACTAAAAATCATATACAACAAAAAGCTAGGTTCTGTCAAGTTGATGATCACTTTCAAAACTAAGCTGGAAAGTAAAACTTCTGAAGTTATAGGGAAAGAAACAAGGGGACTCATGTTTCATGAAGAATCCCATCGCCTATCGATCGAAAGCGTACTCTCCATGCTACTTCTTACCAGCAGTCAATATCACTTTATGCGTAAAATGGCCTGCAAGAAAAACAAGAGTTAGGAAAAAAGTTCCGTTACAATAAGTTAATGATGAACATATGAAGCTGGAAATATAAGGTGACTCCGTGACTGGGAACTTATTTTCTTTCCACGGGTACAAAATTATACTCATTTTTAATGCCCTATTTATGGAGGGAGTTGCAGGGTCAATTTTCTCATTTGGTGTACTAACTCTAAAAATTTAGGCTCACGCAATGCAACTCGCTTGCTCATGTAGTAGTAATCAAAATCATACAAAACTAATCAAGAAAACAAATTTGATATGATGTGCTTACAGTTGCATGGGAGGACACGTATCCCATCCAGGCCCTGGACCCGAAGAAGTAGCGCCAAGGTGGAAACCAGAAGTGGTAGAACGGTACAACAATAACATTCTGGCAAATTTGAAGGTGCTAGACCTTCCAATAGGAAAAGTTTGATCACACATCCCAGCTCCTCTCTTGTTTTCATAACCTGGATAATCCCATATCAAGAATTGTTCTTCATGAACCAAATATAATCCAGCCATATAAGCTAACTCCACTATTTTCCATTCACTGAAAGGAAATGTTGTCTTGTGTGTCACATGAATTTCTCCTACTCCGGTCAGCATTTCCCTTGCATTCTCAAAGAATCCCCTGACCAAATGCTGATGAAACCTGAAAAATGCATGAATTTAATCTAGAATTTGAGTCCTATGTTTACATTGTTGTGCTAGTGTTCTGCTTGCTATCGAAATTAAGTCATTCCATCCTTCATTTAGTAACCATTCTCATATAAACCTTAAATACCGGCTTTGCCATAAACAAACACCGTATGAGCACAAAATATACCATGACCTTAAACAAAAAGCTGCATAAATGAGTGTGTTTGAACTTACCAAATCTGTAACTTGTTGCGTTCAGAGCCATGCAAGTAACCGGCGTGAGGAAAATTATAGATTATGCGATCAAAGCGTACACTAATCAGGAAAGGGTGCCTGCTCATGCTATGGACATCCACCTCATGCAATACAATGCATCCCATGGACTCTAATTCCTTCACATTGCTCATAGCTTTTGAATAATTCACCATTAACGACTCTACATTTAGCATGCAAATGATCAATCAAAACCCCTTTAGTTTAAACATAATAAAAATCAAATCTTTGTGCCCCTCTGCCTATTATTTCACCATTGATGAATTCTACAATTAGCATGCAAAGGATTTCAACCAGGATTCAGAAACCCTCTATAGTTTAAGCAAAAAGATAAAATCGTTGATCCCCTCAATCAATTATTTCATTTGAGTCACTCCTAAAATGTAAATTTTAGCACCAAATAGAGAGTTCATTTGCAACAACAATACTAAATTGGTTTTTTCATTTAATTTAAATTTCAACTGGGGTTTCTTCAAAATTCAAGGAATTGGGATGAAATTAGGAAAAAGATTTAAAGTAGTTGGATGTTGACACAAGTCAATGATTGTTGAAGTGTACACACCTTTGGTCTCTCGGTTTCTAGGGTCACCCTTCCTAGATATCAAGGTCATCATTATCTCAAGTGTAAAACAGCTATCTTCCCTTGATTGAAGGGAGTTGACGTGATTAACTTCATAACCTAGCGTTTGGTGTAATCTCCTTGCTTTAAGGATTGGATTAAGCCTAGGTTTATCCGGTCACTAGGGTTTGCCAGTTGATTACTTGTAGCCATCTCTCTCTCCTCTCTTCTCTCATGTATACTTGGTCTCTTGTACATTGAAACACATGAAATACATTACAATTTAAATCAGAAAATTAACATGGTATCAGAGCAGGTTCTTTTGTAACCTGTCTCTGCCCATTCTTACTGCAGCGATTATTTCTTCAGAGCCTGAACTATGGCTGAAGAAGGTTCTATGAATCTTGAAGTTGAAATTTCACAAGGTCTCTTGTACATTTGAAACACATGAAATACATTACAATTTAAATCAGAAAAGTAACAATGATGGTGGCTGTGTTGGAATTACCTCTGGAGTCAAGAGAAGTGGCAACCATGTTGAAAGCAAAGCCAAAAGCTCTGGCTAAGCAAACGGCAAAAGAGAAGTCTCCTTCTCCCACTAACAGTATCTTCTGGTAGCTGCTGTAATTCTTAATCCTTTTCTCAAAGCCAAACACTTCCATTTGACTGATTCAGTGATTCTCTTCTTTGTCTTCTTCAATTTTCTCAGAATTGTTTTGCCTTGCTACTATTATTTTCCACTTGGGAAATTAAAACTGTTTTAACTTTCGAACCCTTATTTAGCAGAACTGTTGAACTTTTTGAGTCGCTACGCTATCTATTGAAAGATGATTCCGATCAATTTAATAAGATTATTTTTTTATTTTTTAGAAAGTACATTGTTCATTAAGAATCCTGGAAACCGTACAATAAGAGGATAATGTGCGGACAGAAGCCTCAATAAAAAATTTGTGAAGAATTTCAACTCACTAAAAAATAGTGTTCCGTATAATTGACTAAAAAGCAATCATCATGACAAATTACAATAGAAACGACTATTATTCAAAACGAAAATAAAACCTAATAGTTCTCACCTATAAGTTACAACTAAAGAAAAATACTAATAGCAAATGTCTAGAAAAATTTAAATTTGAAGATGGAACAGTATTTTGGACATAGTAACATTCTTATTATTTGTATAGGAAGCGACTCCCACACAACTTAATTTTTCAAGACTCATGTTTATTTTTGACGTTTACATTGAGTAAAGTAAAGAATAATAAGAAATTCGAATAAATGAGAGTGTTCAAGAACAAAAATGAGTGTACAGTAAACATTGTTCATTCTAATTTACAAAGATATATATGGATTCGGATTTAGGTACAAGATGATGAACACACTTCTTTATCTAATTGATACAACTCACTTATGTTGTTTTCAACCTGGTTTTAGGTTGGCCAAAAGTCACAAATACTTGGGATATCTAACAATAAGACAGGCTCTAGCGTTTATAATTAAAAAAAATAGAGTTTATTAAAAGTATTTTTGCAATGACTGAAAAAATTATTTGTGAAAGTTTTTTTGAAATTCAAATTAAAAAACATTTAAAATGCATTTTAAAAGAATCACCAATTGCAATCAGTAGTATAGTTGCATTGTAGATTTTTGTTCCGATTATCCGTTGGAGATTAACGGTTTAAAGTAATATAAACCTCAAATTTAAAATTTATACTAGGGGGACCATTTCATTTGAGGCAATGTTCGTTTAGGTACGCAGTGATTGTTTTTAAGTCCCAAAATAAATGAGGTAATGGTGGAAGTCCAAAATAGGACGTCGGCGTGTCGCGTACGTGCGTTATAGAAGCTTGGGCCTCTAGCTTCCTGGGGAAGCTCCCTCTGTCAAATAATGGAGAAAAACATAAATATCATGTACAATTAAGAAAGTGATTTACTCAATTTTTACATTTTAAATTTATTTATATGTGTGAATTGATAAAAAAAAAGTTAAATGTTTGAAGTAAATAAATAATCTTAGATACTAGAAAAATCTCTCACAAACCAATCAAAGCAACTGAATTCATATAATAAAATCGATCTTTCAATTTTCATCTACATTATATTGAATTTATATTAAGAATATGAAAAATAATATTTAATGAACAACTAATTGAATCACATTATTACTAGCCCATTGTGAGGCTAAGATCAATTATTTGGAAAAAATAATCGATCTTTCAAATTCATGCAGTGGTATGTTTCAGTTGTCAAAATAACTTCTAATTTTATGCACAATGATTCACTTGAACAATTACGAAATTTCTTAGCTTATTCTTTTGATTTATGTGTTATTATGAAACCAAATAAGAAGTATGATTAAAAAATTTGACATCTTTTCAATTGGATTTTGTTTAAGAACATCTTCAAATGAGATGTCAAAATATCCAAATTAGCAATAACAGTAACAAAAGACAGTATTAATATTTCCAACCGAGAAGCCAAATCTGATGTGACATGACGTGGATTGACATCTCTCCCCCTTGCTGCCAAATTTGACAGCGCCTTCAAATTTTTTTAATTAATTATTAAATACTTTTTATTAATTTTTTTATTGGTTTAAAGCATTATCTTTTTGTTTCTTTTCATTCCCAATGCAAAGAAATTATTATTTTATGTTTAAAATTTGACATATCGGTTGGAGAGCAAAAGTTAAAAAAATGCCAAAGTGCCACGTAAGCCTTCAAATTTAAATTTTAGGTTTAAAATTTGACATATGCTTTAGAGATGGTCTAAGCTTCAATTAAGACCAATTTAAATTGGTGTATCTAAATGTAAATGTTTGAAAACTATTGTGGTGTTTTTACGTCTTTGCGTATATAATACTTATAATATATTTGATATTCGCGCGGCTACAACTTCTACGCGTTTACCAATCCGTACTCAAATTGAGAGGAATTGAATTGAGGAGGAATTGGATTGAGGAGGAATTGAAATGAGATGGAATCAGAATCAGATTCCTATTGAAGTTGTTTACAAAAACTGTCTGGAATCGGAGTAGGAATGATGTTGAGTCCATATAAGTTGTTTACTAATTCACTTCAATCGGAATGAAAACTCGGTTGATTACTATATTGCCCTTACATAAATAAATTATTTTCACACTAATTAATTTAATTAAATTCTTAATTAAATTTACATAATAAAATTTATCTATATAAAAATATATAAATAGGTTTTATTTATTTATTAAAAGATGATATGAATGATGTTGAATTCATATAAATTGTTTACTAATTCACTTCAATCAGAATGAAAACTAGGTTGATTACTAAATTGCCCTTGTGATTTGTGCCCCAGATGTACTGCTGGACCCACTTGTCACTGCTTTCTTCAGGCGTTGCATCTACTCGCCCATGCAGAGCGAATCTTTGGTCCACCAATTTCTGATACTTCATAATTTTTATGCTTTTGCTTTGTGTAGTGGCACTGGTGGCCCTTTACACTTTTGCTCTTCCTTAGTTTCTTTTTTTCTATTCTAAAGAGATTCTTTAGTTTTCCATAAATAAATAAAAAAGAATTAAAAAAAAAAGAGATTCTTTAGTTTCTTTTTTTCTATTCTAAAGAAACTTCGAGAATAAGAATCGGATTCTCTTTATAAGGATTCTGCAAATCCTTAAATCGTATCCGTTCATCGTACATCGTGCAGTTAGAAATCATTTAAATACTTTTATTTTAAATTAAATATGAATAGTATCTGAGGAAAACTAACCTCACGATATATAATGAACGGATACGATTTGAGTATCCTCAAAATCCTCACAAAGAGGATCCGGAAAGGATCCTCCTGGCTTTTAAAAGATGATAAAGAAATGTACCTAGAAATTCAAAATAAAAAACATAAATAATAAATTTCGGATCAAGAGCTTCTTCTATTGTTTATGTATTGCAGTGTGTTTAAATTTTAGTTTGACGATATATTTTAAACTAAAGGGTTCGATTAAACTACATAATAGACAACTTAATTTGATATCAAATTCTTCATCAACGAGATTCAAACCTAAAACCTTTTATTTACAAATGAAAAAAAGTATCAGTAGATCTTAATACTGAATTACCAATGTGTATAAATTTTAATTAACTAATAAAATACGGCTAGAGAAACGCTTGAACTGGTCGTCATTGAGTCATTACTTCCTTCGTGTAAGGAGCCCTGATGGTTCTTTATGCTTTTGCTTTTCATTAGTTTCTTATCTTTTTTTGGTTGAGAGTTTTTTCTTTTTCTAAAGAGACTTTGGCAACGGTTCGTTTTGATGACGGAAATGTTATATCCATTCTCATAACCACAAAAATTAATCATATGTATAACTGCAAATTAACCATTGAGGATTATCTATAACCATATTCACCGGATAACGGATTTTCAATCAATTATCGGTTATATCCATCTTCGTAAAAATATATATATATATATATATATATATATTAATCTAATTGATGCACTACAAATTTTAGTAGATACTAATTCCGTCATTAAATAACAACATCCAATTACAAAAAACATAACAACATATTTGAAGTTGTTCATGATAAGCCAATATGATAAATTGGTCCAATAGAAAAGAAAAAGAGGACAAAAGCAAATACAAAAGGAAGACAAAACAAATTGTCTAATAATTCCAAAACTTGTGATGACAAAAAAACGAGATATTTGCACTTCGCTTTTAGTTCCACCAAGCCAGCATTATATTTCATGGTGCTTCTCCTTCACACCCATCAATGGAGCATGATTTCTACATTATTAAGCAAATGACGAAATAATTAATATGAACCGTTGTACACATATAATCTACAAAGAAGATAGTTATATACATATAATATAATTGCCAATACTTACCTCATTCATATCCAATTTTGGGCGCACATTAAGGCTTTCAATGTCTTTGGATGAAGTCTAATATGGTGTGGACTTACAAATCTCCCACTAGTTCTACAAGCTAATTCGGAAGCAACTGTAGATATAAGAACAGCTAATGTATCCCTTGCCAAAGCATTTAAGATAGGATATTTAGTCCCATTTGATTTCCACCAACCCAAAATATCAAAATCAGATGTTCTAGGCAAAACAGCCTCTTCCAAATAGTGATCTAATTCTGACTTTACATTATCAGTGATTACAGTACTAGAAACAAACAAGTCAAAGTTATCTATTAAAGGATTCATCTCTTCAAACTCAAATTGATTTAATTGAGATGAAGTGAATGATGGTTGATAACCCATGTTAGAGATGTGATAGATCCACACTCTTTTACCAAATCATAACAATATTTGCGAATCTTATCAATTTAATTCGAAGCATATTGCCCATACATAAGAGGAAAGAAATACTCAATCAGCCTCATCTCGAATCTTGGATCCGATACAGTAGCTACAGCCATTATTCCATGAATCACATTCCAATATTTATCAAATTTCTCAATCATACTTCTTGCCATGTTTTTTTATTTCATCATGTCTAGA